CAGTCAAAGAAATGATTATCAGCTGAACAGTTAGTTACCACGAATAGCTTCCTTTATTTCAAAACATTCCAGTGAATCATAGTATCTGATGCCTTGGATCTTCTACATTTAAGCGAATAATCATGGGATTAAAATCAAACTATATAAAAAGCAAAACAAAAAGAGCAAATGTAGGAAATTTCGATGTTATGTAGATAGCACACCTTCCAAATTAGCCAAATTAGAATTAGCCGGGGGATTTGTGCCAATCAGAAATTGCGAAATATCTTTAATAAATAATAACCACAATACTGTGATCAAACGGAGAAAACCATATTCCAGACCCAGCCTGGATAATCTACTCTGTGTAGAGTAAACCAGATCATTTTCTGCGCCCGTGTTCCTTCGCAGGATACCAACAAGACTCCTTTAGATAGCTAAAAATCGATCCTCGACAAAGAGCATCGTAAACAAGAGAAAAGCGTGTGAACAAAGAGATTGGTTTGGATCACTCTTAGGCTGGATGCCAAGCATATCCTTTTCACTCTTACTTTTATCGTTTTAAGAATCACAACTAGGCCGCGGATGCCCCACACTGTATTTTATAAGCTCCAGTTACATTTTTGTAGACAAGAAACATCCTTGGAATTTGGTTGAAGCCTGAGTCGAACGTAGTCTAGGAACCGGGTGCACATGACGTGACTAAGTCTAGATGTTTAGTTGAAAGTCGCCCTTGTTCATGTACTCTTTCTGAACACCTGATTTAGATCGTTACTGACTTTAAAATCTTCGAAACACTTTTTAGGCTCAATATAACAGTACTGATAGAAACAATTCCAGTAGAGTTCGTTATTTTACTTCGCCCATTTTTTTTTTTCTGTTCAAAACGCCTGGTTTTAAAGTAGATGATTTGGCGCCTTCTGGGCCTGATAATCGTGGGCTCATTTCAACTGCCAGCCGCAGGTTATAACAATGATATGGGCGAATTTACAGACGCCAGCAAAACAGATTTAGGCCAACCTCTTTAAAAATCTCTGCGGAGCGAATCGTAGGTGTTGATGATAGAATATTTTCACAAGGGTGGTTTGAGTAAATGGTAAGCACCCCTGCAGTACTCATATTTAATACCCTAGTTCACTTGTCGTCCAGCCTAAATTTCTCCCTGATATGACAAAAATATGTATTAGAAACAACCACAACACCTCAGTTACAGCTGCCAAACAAATGTCAAAACGGATTGGACTTTGCCTTCAACATTATAAAAGTGAAAGGCTGAAATAGCGTCAGCTTGTTCTCTATTACATTCGTAGTATCAGGTAACGGGCCCACGTACTGAATCTTCCGCTTATTCAAACTCCTGTGGAAATGACTGATCACGAGCAACGCTTTCCCTCTTTTGCCAGGGACCGCGGAGGGGGAGGGGCTGGTAGGGCCGCGGGCCCCACCACTTTTTTGCGCCCCCGCCCCCACTTTTTGCGCTAAAAAGAAAAATAATTAAAAGAAAAAAAGACTTGAAACAAGTTTTTTGCCGTCTATATTCCGCTATATTCTCTGTATTTTCTTTAATTTCAAACGCCAGGCATTTTGTGGGGCTCCTGTGCTTTTCGCGGTAATTGTGCTCTGGGGCCGACTTGCCCCTTGATCAAACGCCATGCCTTGGCCACCCCTTCGCTTCTTTCGGCAGCGTGTTTTGTACTTCCAGCTCCGGCAGAGTTTTTTATCAGTTTTATTAGACGAAATGAAGAAAATTATTAGCTTTTTCAAGCCAAACGAAGGTGAGTAGTTGTTTTGAGTTGATAAAAGGTTTATCTTTTGTCAGTTTCTCCTTTCCAATCAATGAAATATTCGATGGCAAGAAGAATTACATTACTTGAACAGTGAACGGCCATAGTTAGAAATTTTTCAGATCACTTCAGTGTAGTATTTTCTATACTAAAATTGTAATCGCGTCTTTTCTTGCATTGAATCTGAACTGACCGTGTATGTTGGCCGACCTATAAAGAGCAACAAATACACTGGATAAAGTATGCAAAGTCACGCGACAGAAACAAATCAAATACTATGATTTTATTCCTTTTTTCGATTTTCAATATGAAAAAATTATTTTCAATTGTCAGCCCTGCCACTTTTCACCTTGCTCCGCGGTCCCTGTTTGCCACTACCATTTCTGCATTAAGTATTATTTTGTACTGCGTTGAGTTTTTAAGAGTCGAATTGGAGTTGAACAATCAGAGGGAGAGATTGCAGGCGCTTGAAAACATCCCGGAGACAGAGCCGCCATCAAGCGATCCAAACATCGCCAAGTTCATCAAGATTGCTCGTCGTATGTATTTTTCAACGTGTCTTCATGTTGCTTTAAATTTCATGCAGTCTGAAATCGTTCTTCCCATCCTTTTAAGAACATTCCAGGATACGCAATTGTGCTCTACATTATCACCAGCGATGGAGTCAATTCGTCAAAGACTTGTGTTTGTCAGTGTTAAACAAATTGAGTAGGTCATTCCACGTAGAGAGGCCGTGTGACTGACTCTCTAACACTGTCCCCGAACACGGTGCATTTATTTTCGCACAAATAAACGGGAAGAACTTTTTGTTGCCTTAACTAAACCAGCAATTCAAATAGAAGACTACTTAAAACCAACGCTTCGCTCTTCTTTTGCTACCACCATATCAACATTAGGTATAGTTCTATATTGCAGACGTTGAGTTTCTGAGAGAGTTGAATAATCACTAGAAGGATTTAGATGGCTTGAATATTCTTGGTTTTCACATGAAGTCACCGACTGAAAATCAAAAATAAAGAATCATCGATCCCCCTGAGCTTTTAATTTCATGGAGATTACAGCAGCTGAAAAGTTATAGTTTTACAAATTTTCACTTCGAAAGGTTTCTTCGTTTTTTGCTAGAGTCGGCTCTTGAATTTCTAAAATTTTGCGTGACACGGTATTTACGTGGCGGCCGAGACGAATGTCATGCAGGTTGAAAAGGTGACTTATTTTGGAGGATTTTTTCTAATTTTATTATAGACAAGTATTATTTAATGTTTATGAGTCGGTAGCAGATGTTTCTGTTGGGTTTCCGGCCACCATATTGGTGCCCCTCAGAGAGGCACCAACATGGCGTCTCCATACAAAGCTCTATATCTATCTCGTATACGAAAAATTGAGCCGACCATATTTTTGGCGAATTCTTTTATTTCCCAGATTCTGGACTTCACCTTCTATCATCAAGTTTATCAAGAGTGCTGGCAGTATATATTCTTTTACCCCAAACCCAAAATTTCAATCATGCCGTAGAAAGTACGTAGTTCTTTCAAAATAAACATTCAAACGGGAATTGAAGGAATCAGGATAATAATGTAAAAAGAAACCTTCGGATCGCCAAATAAATACCGGAACTATCTAAACAGAATAAGCGTTGTCTGCTCCCATATGGCAAGCAAAACCAAACGTCGGCGTGGTTGAGCCCTTTTCTTTGTGCAGGAAGCCAAAATAATTAATACCGTCCTCCTTTCATACAACAGTAGGCTAATCTCACAGAGAGATTCGTTGTTATTTCCTTTTCTTTCTTGTTTTCTCTTAGGTTAGTATTTATTTAAGTGGAATTGTATAATTTATTTCCTGATTAGTGATTATTCTTAATAATATTGTAAAATTTGTCTTTAATTCAATAAAAACTGTTTTTAAAAAAGAGAGAGATTAAGATTCACGTTTACCGCCAACGGCAAACGTCAGACTTAAGTTGAGAATTTCTCAGAATAGAACATAAGCAGATAAAAACAGTCCCGAACGATTCCTATGGTTAAAACTGGCATAAAACTACTTATTTTTGTGTAGAAGCATTAAAGAGTAAACGGAAAATAAGGGGGAAAATTGGTCACGTGGTACAAATTCACCTCTGTCGTTTGGCGTATTCGTGAATCTTAATCCCTCTATTGCTCAACTGTACAACGCTATACTTCCCCCCCGGGGGTATTTGGGATAATTTTTGCTAGGTATGTGCCGCTGGACTCTCGGAACCCCTAACCCATTATAGTCTATTCTGTGGCCATATTATTGATCCCATCCATCTTAGTCACTTTGAGAAAAAAGTAATTTTCGCAATCCCAACTTAGTCAGTTTCTGTTTTTGCATCTATCTTATAAAGCCTTTTAACTTCACGTAACTTGGTCATCCTGAAATGAACTGACAAATTTTTTGACTATGTGGTGTAAATCTTCCTATTTTGAAATCTCTACATACCCGATTTTTCTGACACCCAAAATCCTGAACATGATGTGCGACCCCATTCTAGTAACTGTTATAAACATGCAATCCTATAATAGTTAATCCAGTCGTGAAAATGCTACCCCATCCAGGGGCACATACCCATTAGCCTACTTCTAGGAAGTACCCCAAGGGTATATTTTGAACAATCGACTGCAAATTGTGATAATTGGTGTGGTTTAGTATTTAGTATTTAATTTTCTTTATAACATAATGCTTCGCCTCAGTTTTGATCGTCAATGGTTATTTTAAAATAAAAAGAAAGCGTAATAGAACGGAACGGCGTAATCGAGTAAGACCAAGAAATTGCATGCGTAAGTGCGGTAAGGATGTCTATCACTGTCGAGGCGATCTGCCACAGGCTTCCCCCTCAGTGATAGCCCTGAGTTACCTGGAAGGATCAATTTTTGTACAGTTTATCATGAATATTTGAAACGTTGTTTACTTCCTCCTTTCTGTCTTTTCCCTACTAAGTTTTCTTCTTTATTGTCTTGGTACACTTGAATATGGGTTATTTTACAGCAATATGATCATAGCCACCTTCCGAGTTGAGCGTTGCAGTAGAGAGTCAGTCCAACAAGTCAATGCAAAAGGAAAACAAAGCAGCAGAAAAATAGCTGGCTTTAGGAGAAAAAACTTTGAAGTGTCACCAATGAAGAACCGTTGAAGTGGCCAGATTTCTTCGCATGACCCCCTTCGTACGTTTAGGGAAAGTACCACGAACAAAGTTTCCGTTTCAGATTATACGTTTAACTTTGATTCAACAAGCTTTGTTTCTTTGTGGACACCGCGCTAATTTCTTTATCTTCATTTTGGACTGTCACCCCTCTCTTCCTTTATTCGAAAGTCGTTTAAACTATTAATCTCGCGTTTATTTCTAATACCTTAATTTCATAGAGCGTTAATTTCCTATATGATAGGTATGCTCAATCTATGTTTGTTACTTAGCTTTTCATTATGAGACATTGTTTTGAGCTCCCATTTCGCTGATTTACGTTCTATACACGCAACACAACTAAACAAGTTATGATTTTCTTGTTTTATTATCTTTTAAAAGACTTTGACTCCTATGAACATGGTAGAGGGAGGCGTCAAGCAAATTTGGCCAATACCACTAGGAAAGATGCAGCGACAGTGGATGTGATGAGTAAAATCAACAAACTGCTAACAGAAGGGAGACTGCAGCTCTGTCAATCAAAGGGTGACAATTGTCTATCAGGTCCCCAGGCCCTCCTGGTCCACTTGGTCCGAGAGGAGAGAAGGGAGACCGAGGACGAAAAGGGAAGAGAGGAGCACACGGAAACAAAGGAGATAGAGGTATTATGGGATCACCAGGTAAGAGCGGCAAGCAGGGAATCATGGGAACTGTAGGACCAAAAGGCGATCCTGGACTCAAAGGGCAAAAAGGAGACACAGGGCCCACTGGCATGCCGGGAGCCAAAGGAGAGCCCGGTGAATCGATTTCAGCTCCTGTTGTTGCTGTTTCACCAACAAACCTGACAGTAAACGACAGTGAAACAGCTTCATTTCAATGTTCAGTCAGCGGTAATCCTGAGCCTGCAATAGTGTGGAGTAAAAGGGGCAACCTTTCCGAAGTAAACACGTCAGCGGTTTCGAGAGGGAGATTGCTATTAAAGAATGTAAAAGCAAGACACTCTGGAGAATACCAGTGCTTGGTAACAAACATCTTAGGACATGCGCAAACACTAGTGCAGCTTGTTGTAAATGGTGAGTCCGTTTTGTGAAACATTGAGCGCCTACCATTTGTTTAAAAAAAAAACGAAAATTCCGGCGAGATTTCCGATGTGGTAATTGTTTTCAGAAAAAACGACGGTACCGGTATTGGGTTTCCTCTTCCTCATTCCTTTTTTCGCGTTTTTAAATCGAGATTTTATGTTTTATTTTTTCATAATTTCCTCGAATCAAACAGTAAAGCCTGACTTAGTAATAAAAAACAGCTTGCTAAAGTAAACAGCACTAGTAACACGACTTGCAACGTCAACTTGGAACATAAAAAGTTTATAGGCGAATAATTTATCAGTTAGTGACACAAGCTATTAGGAAATAAAAAATACTGGTTTTCCCAAGAAGTGTCGAAACTGTAACTCCAAATGTAATTCTAGATGTTCTATTACTAAGCACCGTCGTCTCAGAAAAATTGAGGAAAGGTGCGCCCTTTAGTGGTCCTTCTAAATTTGACCCTCAGAATTATTTCATTGTGTTTTGTTTGTATGTGTACCTATGCATATTTATTAGACTTTTATTAGTTATCACATAATATAATTTGGCCTAATGTTTATAAGTTGGCACCTACTATTTAACAATTAATGAATGAGGCTGAGTATCTTATGAAGAATTATGGAGATCGAGGAGGGTGCTCGGCGGATAACACCCTCCGAGATCTCCATAATTCTTCATATGATACGAAAGCCGAATTCAATAGTTTTATTGTTCTTTCAAAATAATTCCTAGTTTAAAAACATGGCTAAAACATGCTTACCTCCATCGATCCATCGATGTTAAGTTCATCTTCGATAGAGCACGTTTAAGGTTGTTCAGCTCGGCAAATATTCTTCAAATAGCAGATGTCGCCCTTCGAATTGTCTTCTTGCTGTTCTTGCCACGTTTTTAGCTATTTTTTCGCCTAGTTCTTACTGTTGAAACGAGTGAAATGTCCGCCATTTTTCAAGTTCACAACCAAAACAACTCAACCTCGTCCCTAGCCTGCAAGAACGCTGCCTTTTTACGTGGTTTCCTCGCTAAGCACAAAATTCTTCCAAATTTGGTCATCAGTAACTGGTTCCGGTGAATTAAACATGTGCTTTTAGCCAATCAGAATCGGGGAAATATTTTGAATGAAAGATAATGTTTTATTAGTTGGCATTCAAAGTATTTTATCTTTGTTTTAAATTTTATTTTTTGTTTGTTTGTTTGTTTACAACATTACAACAGATTGAACGACGATGATGTGAACTGCAGAAATACACAATTAAATTAAGATAATATATATATTTAGCCACAGCTAAAAGCGAAGCTCCCATTGATAAATTTATAACTTAAATCAAACAATAATTTTGTATTCCACAAATCAGTTAACGTAATATAAGGGCACGTTCATGTGACTTTTGAGGGAAAAGCTAAGTGATTTTGGAGTGAAACAAATTTTGTATCGAGTTGATATAGCCTTATATGTACACCCAAAAAATAGTCTTCGGTCACATTTAAGAGCAATGATGGCTCTTGATCACAGTAGATAAGGCGTGCAAAACAAATCAGACCGAATTTTTTGCGTTCGACAAGTTTACAAATTCTTGCCAATAAATCTGGGTGCGTGCAAACCAATCTTTTAGTTTTTTGTATACACCACATCTGAGGAGAAAGAGTACTATGAGGCGCTGTTTTTACAGACCTCGTACAAAATGCAGTATTTCACAATTTTTCAAGACAAATTGCATTCATTCAATATTCAGGACCATAGAGGCACGCGTGGACTTTTAATTAGCGAAACCGTTCAAAACATTTCCAAAATCACCTATACGGCAAGCCGGTTCTAACTTTTGACAAGCGCCAAATTTGCGAAGAAATTTTAAAAGAGTTACGCTTCCACGTGATAAAGAATTTACTGAGTCTATTTTTTATCAACGGTTTTATAACGATGTGTAATCTTAAAAAAGCGTTTGATACGCTTCGCATTTTGAGTACTCCTGCGAGCGACGTTTATGAACGCCTGAAAACAAAAAGGCAAAGCGATGAAGATTACACTTTTGAGACTTCCAAAAATCAATAAAGAAAAATAATTCGATAGAACATTTACAGAGACAACAATTTTCATTCACGAAAAAAAAATGAGTATTTAAGTGTGTCTAAGAATCCTCAAGTCTTTACTAGTAAGCTTAAAGTTTATGTTTTAAGCCGCCGGTTTCCCGGTGTTGGCTGTTTTCAAAGATTAACTCACGAAAAGAAAATCGTTCAAAGCTTTTTTTCTACAGCCAAAATTATAACTAAATATTCTTCGGAAAGTTTTTTCTTTCTATTTAAGGTGAATTAATATCGACTAAAGGCTTTTTAAAGTTCTGTAAGCTTAAGCTTATATCAAAGCTCATACGAGGTCAGATCAGTGTCTCCGTCAAATCGTAATACAGACGTGCATAAACTAGCTTCATAAACTGCGCCGCTGGACTTCATGAAATTAGATTTAAATACAATAATTACTCAGGCTTACCATATTTCAAGATGCAGCTCCTGAAAGCTATCAAGTAAGGCAATTATCGCTTGAGCCTTTATAATTATCGTACGCATCCAGCAAGGTGAAAAACAAAAACGATGCCATCCGAAATCGGATTATCGGCTTTGACAAGCGACGCATTTTTCAACCAAAAACCCAATCAACAAACCAGCCATGAATAAGAGAACACTCTTGATAGCAGCTGTATTTCATTTTGTACATCCAGTGGAAAAAGACAGTTACAAACATCACAAGTTGACTCAAAACTCTGTCAGCTTCAACTGTCAAAGAAAACAACTTTCAAGATGCTGCATAAATTTTACTCATGAACTCACCTGTCAAATTTTAACCAATCAGAGCATAAAAATTGGACTTTGAGCGTGACCAACACGTGCCCATGGTAAGAAAAGGTCTTCCCCGCCTGTATTTTAAAAACACTGGCTGAATTTTTGCGTCTGAAGTCAGTTTGAAATCAAAATCGTAATAGTGCGGGGCGATACTGACATAAACACAACATATTTGATATGAATTTAAAACAAAGGTAAACGTGAGCCTGCGATCATTTGAAAACGAGTAAATTGTCAGCGGATAACTTCAAAAAATACTCGACCTCGATGGGTCGACACCTGAGCCCGCGATTCGGTCAGGTGATAGTGGTCAGCGGATACCCTGTTTTGACAGCTGTCAATTGATGACAACATTGATGTGCAATCAGCTTTCTCCTGGGCTCCCAAAGTAGCTAGAAAGTGTGAGAGTAAACATTGGTATGCCTGTGGTGCGGACGGACGGTCGGTCGGTCGGTCGGTCGGTCACGTGATTACCAAATTTTCTGGGATGGGTAGATTTCCTTAGCAATGGGGCTCCACCCACGCGCGCGAGTGGAGCTCCGCTATGATCATCACAGTGGTAATTGCAATTTAAGCAATTGCAAATTAACTCGAAAAAAAAATGCGGGACTCGAATCAACGATACTTAAAAAAGAGTAAAATAAATATCAAACTAAGGATAAAATTGAGAGGCAACAATGACATGTTGATTTTGTTTTATTCCTGTAGTTCCTCCTCGAGTTTCTCTTCACCCAGGGCCTCATTACGCCATTGAAGGCAGCAATTTCACTTTTCCAACATGTCACGTGACTGGTTATCCGACACCAGTGGTCATTTGGAGAAGGGTAACCGGCCAGTTATCACAGGAGAGGGTGAAATACAATAACAGTAATTTGCAAATTTTACATGCTAGAAAAATAGATTCTGACGTGTATCTTTGTTCAGCAACAAACCTGCTTGGAGGTTTTAAAAAGAAAACACTTGTGGTCATCGTTTCTCATCCTCGATTTACTGTTAAGCCACCTGTAAGCATATTTGCAGCGCTTGGAGACACTTTGACGCTTAATTGTAGCGCAACTGGTGACCCTCAACCAGTTATTAGCTGGAGGAAACAAGGAGGTCATTTGCCAGTTGGAAGGAGCCAGCAGCTTAATGGTGCGTTAGTGATTAGAGAGATTAAAGAGAACGACACAGGTCATTATATTTGTACCGCAACCAGCGCAGGAGTGTTTAAAGTGGAAACTGTGACGACCATTAAATTTTATCCCAGAGGTCAGTTTTAACTATAGTGTAAAATATAGATTTAGCCAGGGCTAAAAGCGAAGCTCTCAATAATATTTATTGTTTGTTCAAACAAAATACAAAATCGTGTAATGCTGCGATGGCAACGCGTCCGGAGAACGGCGAAAAAAAACGACAATAGGTCTAATTAGCATAAAGCAACTTTGCACGCGCGGCACACTTTTTTTGTACATTTCTTAGCCGTTTTGCACGACTACAACGTGAAACTTCCAGAAACATCCCAGTTACACTTTTCATGTAGGAAATGTCGTACGTGTTCTCGTTCACTTTTTTTTCACTGCCGCTCATTTCCACATTGCATTGGTGGCCGCTAGCATTTCTCATTTTCTCACCGCCGCTACAAAATTTTTAATGTTGTTCTTCCAACAAAAAAATATCTCCTTTGTGTTTTTGTCTCTCGCTCTAGATCTCTCTCGCCCTTTTTCTCGTTGAGCTTCACTGGCCTGCTGCCTAGTTTCTCTTTTTCTCTGTCTCTCTTGCTCTATATTCCAAATTTGTGGACATGACACTAAATTAATCTTAGCTGATAGACATCGCGGATAGAGAAACAATTTCCGCTCTCCGTTTTCGTCTTTTTGACTCTATAGTTGTCTCTGCTTTAAAAGACGTGGGTGGCTCTCCCTGCCCATTTCCCGCCAAAATAACCTCGAGTTGCATTTGGGTTGCCATACCTGTTGATGGAGTTATTTTACATTGTTATGACTGTGGTGCGGACGGAAGGTCGGACGTATGGTCACGTGATTACCAAAACTTCTCGGATGGGTAGATAACAAAATTTTCTTACCCACGGTGCTCCGCTGCGCTCGCTTCGAGGGCGAGAGAGCTCCGCTATTAGCCCCTCTACTGACATCTGATCATTTTGAATGACAGATAACTTAGGCCTCAAATCTGTGAATATAACTAAGGCACTGATGAACATTGTACTCGATTGGACTTTTCGCCTTTATCAGACTGTTTATTTTGTAATTTAACGATCTTTTAAAATTGTCTTCCTGAAATTCAGGTTGGGGTGCATACTGTCAGTCCTAACTAAAGAGAAAAGTAGTGGATCCTGGGCAAAAGTAGAGAAATGTTTTTGTATCTTAAAAATGTTATTTCATTAACGCTTTTCATTCTAATTTAGGTCAAGACTGTTTACTGCTGCTAAAGATAGGCCATACTAAGAGTGGATTGTACTCTGTGAACCCAGACGGTAAAGGATTCTTCACTGTTTACTGTGACATGCGCACTGATGGAGGAGGATGGACTGTGTTCCAGAGAAGGCAAGATGGCTCTGTAGACTTCTATCGCGAATGGAACGATTACAAATCAGGATTTGGTCAGCTGACGGCTGAGTTCTGGTTAGGAAACGACAAGATCCACAGGCTGACGGCCGCTAGACCCAGCACTCTACGAGTGGAACTTGAGAACTGGAACGGAGTAAGAGTGTATGCTAAATATGGCAAGTTTTACATTGGTAATGAGCAGGCGAAGTATCGACTTGAAGTGGGTTCATATTCAGGGACAGCGGGAGATTCGTTAGCGTTGCATAAGAATAGGGCGTTTACCACAAAAGACAGGGATAATGATATATGGAGCAGGGGTCACTGTTCTTTGTGGAGTGGAGGTGCCTGGTGGTACGACAATTGCCATCACTCCAATCTAAACGGAAAATACCTAGGAGAGAAAGTTGATGTCAGGGGTATCACGTGGCGTCATTTCAAGAATAAATATCTATCATTAAAATTTTCTGAGATGAAATTAAGACCCTCATCCTGAAAGCAAAATTGACATATTGCAGTTCAATGACGTGTGACAAGAACTCTTATTTTGGATCTACGCGATGTCGGAAAAACCATCTTTGATAGAGAAACGTTAAAATAAACGGCTTTTCAAAACCTTAATTTTTTGGCTAAATTTGTAAATTTACCTACATCAGTATAATGACAACAATAATGGCGACCATCTTTTAGCTCTTTATAGCAGTACCAAACAATGGATCGTTTTCACTCAAGTTGTCAACCGCTATGCAAATTTATTGGAACAAAAGAAAGTTTTTACATGACAAAAAGAGTTCAGTCACCACAGGTTTTTACTGATACATCAGATCACATAAACGCGTAACACACTGACGAATGGCTTTGGGAGGTTAAGGCTAAAACGCGCTTTGCAAGTCATATAACAAGATTTTTACTACAGGTTTCAAAGGCCTCAGAATAGGTGTGCTTGAGTGATTATAAACTGTAGAAACGAGACTGGTCAACCAGAAATCGCTATGCAAGCTCTAGGTTGGATCTGTCTTGCCGAACAAAAAGATGCTAAGAGACAAAAACAAGGCTAAAGTAATGTTCAAAATTCGTCATGGCTTGGCACCAGCCAGGCTATCAAATATCGGAGGCCCGCGCAATCAATAGTAATTATAATCTTAGAAATTCAACTAAAAGGGTTGCCCCTCCTCTACCCAAAAGAGATTTCCTAAAAAACAGTCTAAGTTGAAATGGAGCCACTCAATAGGCGAATCTTTGTTTACATTTTTTGCCTCATTAGCATAGGCTTATCATTATCTGATGAAGCTAATAAAATGAAATTTCTGAATTTTCAAAGAGCATAACGATCTCAGTTATCTCTGAAAATTTGAGCCCAATATAGTTTCGAAGAAATTCTCTTTGAAAAAACCCAAAATATACAAAGAACTTATGAGCTCATTAACGTTTTGCCACCAGGTAATTTTGCAGTTTTTAATTGCTGCTTTTTTCTTTGGTACTGATTGCAAAGAGCTGAAACTTGCGCAAACTGCATAAAATAACCGGCTCTTTTAACTTTTGAACCTAATTGGTATACAGCTATTTCGAGAAAGGTTGTCGAAAAAATTGTGCACGCGACAATCCCGAAAGGTAATATGGGATATGATCAATACACTGTTCCTGACGACTGCAGCTGTCGAACCTACTTTTGTTGCTCTCTTTTAGCACTCGCAAACACATTTCCATGGCCTTTCATGCCAATTCCTTCAAATTTCATTGAAAAAAGAGAACTCAAAACCAGCCACAATACCTTTCAGGATTGTCGCGTGCACTTTTCCCGACAACCTTTCTCGAAATAACTGTATACGGCCACATCTTCTGTGGGTAACTCGTATGCTAATGAGCAAAAATGTAAACAATAACGTCACGATGAATCCGCCTGTAAAAAATGTCTTATTCATATTTTTTATTTTTAAAGATAGTATAAAATTGAACTTGGATTCTATCGCTCCCTTTAGAATACTTAATGTAGAGATTATGCAATATTTGTAACGTGTTATTTAGATTGTGCAATTTCATATTTTGTATTTGCTATTTATTAGTTGTCTATTTTTGCACGCCATTAATGGAAACCAACTTTTGTTGATTTAGGCTATCGTGGATAAATAAAGATGATCTTATCTTATCTCTCATCTTTAGTTAGTAAGACCTTGTAAGGGTGCGCAGGCGAAAGCGGTCTTGCTTGGCCGGACAAAACTGAATTTAAGCCTTCGTGGCGGTTTCTGAAGGGGTCAGAAAGGGAGAGCAAACGGGAAGGAGATTGGATTGTTTAAAGAATCAATCAGACATAAGGGAGAAGGGGCACTCCATTTCAAGTTAATACCCCTCCCCTTTCACATTAATAACAGAAACTTTTTCTAAATTATTATTATCATTATCATTAATATTATCATTATTATTATTGTTATTATTACCATTACTATTATTAACCATTGAAAGTGGTAAGTCTTATTTATAAGGGGTGTGGTAAACAAACACAAACATACACGTTAAAACTGCATCAGCTATATTAAAAGTAAATGCCGATATATACACCAAGGGATTTGTAGACATAATTTTGTCAAGTAAACATGAAGCGAACACAAAAACGCAGGGGCGGCCTAATTTTTCATTGTGGCCTTCCCTTCAGGCAGAGAGATGAAACCAATAACCGCAACGTCTAAGTTGTCTAAGTTGGCCGCCACCGTGGAGTATCGTTATTTTAAAACGGGTCTTAGTAGAATTTTTGAAAGGGGTATGGGTAAGCGATTGGGAGATTTTGCTCGGGCAACAATTTTGTTTCCAAGCCTTCTACTGTGATCGTTCCTGCACTGTTTGCAGATTATCTTTTTCATATGGTTCTCCTAATTCTTTGCAATGATTAACGGATTAATGGCATGGACAAGAAAAATCCTTACTACGGCAAAAAAAATTTATTGAATTATAAAAACATGATGCTGGCTTTTTAACTTTTACTGACTTAAATAATGTCTTTCAGTGTGTGCAATTGTTCTGAAATATTTTGCATTCAAATGGTCTCATTTTAAACAAATAATTACTGTCTAATATATTGAAAATCAAAAGTTATGATTTCAATGTTGTTTTTGTAATAATTATAGCAACAAATTTTTTGTAAAAGGTTAATAACGAAAAGTAGTTTTATCGGAATAGTTCTTTTGACCATCAAGCTTGTACACTAAACTTTTTTAATCGATTTGGCTGGCTGGTTAGTCCGTAAATGACGTGCGCAAAATGAAAACTGTTCTTCTTAATTGCAACAACTTAAGTTAATAATTCTAGTTATATTTGACATTAATAGGACCGTTCCGTAACAAAAAACACAAAGGAGCTACAAAAAGGATTATTTGAGCATGGACGTTTAACGATAACAACTCGGCCACGCTACTAGAACATACAAGTAAGTCGTGATAAACAGTGTGCCTCTGTATAAGTATCCGAGGAAATCAAAGTTGTGACAATCGCTGTAGATGAAAGGAAGATCTTAGGCATTGAAAAGCAATGAAATTTACCGAAAAGTATGCTGCAGGTACAGTTAGAGAGTTATTGTTTTTTTATTTTAATTATCAAAACAAAAATTCATCGATCAACACATGAGCAATAGGTTTAAAACCTAAAGCCCACGTTCTTTGGTTTTCTTTGTGCTCAGCCTTCTCTGGAATTGCGAGACAATAGAGTCGTCAAAAATCCAATTTTGGCCCTAAAGCCTCAGAGTCGTGTGAGAATTTTTATATATCGAAAGTGACCTATTGTCTTTGACGTTTACCTTCAGCTTCCAAGTAGCGCTTCCATACAAAACAATTCATGATATACATGCGATGATTTCGAACTCGACGAACGGTCCTATTAAGCGGCATGGGCAGGTTCCCATACAGAGGCTTAACAGTGCAGTTGAAATAGTCAGTCAATCCATTTATCGTTGTCATCTAGTTAAACTTGAAGCGAGGATTACCCAGCGACCCTTGCAAAGAATGAGGAGGGAAAAATGTATGCTGAGGAATCCCATGAACCACAGGTATCAAACCAGGGACCATTCCCTGCTCATCTCCAGCTGGTTGGGTGTCACGCACGGGAGAACGGTGAAGATCGACCAAGCTGTAGCTTGAAGAACCTGGATTGGAGGAGATTGCGTTACCCCCCATGGTGATCGAAATGTCACGAATTCCTTGAAAGGCGTTCCGCCATATTTTGTAGGGGACTGCAAACAAAAGGTAACACGGCCAGCAGGCACACCAAGCAGGGTGACAGTCAAAGAAATGATTGACAGCTGAACAATTAGTTACCACGAAGTTCGCTCCAACAGCTGCTGTCATTTCAAGACATTCTAGTGAATCATAGCGTCTGATGCCTTGAGTCTTCCACCAGCGGAGAATCATGGGATTGAAGTCAAACTATTTGTAAAATAAGCAGATTAGTAGAAAGTAATCAAGGGAATTTTATCTGCGTTGAGGATGGCGCTACCTATCTCTTGACCCCTTTTCTTAGACTAGTTCTAGTCTGTATTGTAGTCTATTAATATATTTTTTTAACAATTATTGGGTGCGGCTTAGTATGATGTGAAGAATTATGCAGATAGAGGAGATTTGTATTAACGGCATAATTCTTCACACCATAAGAAATTCGAATTTAAAAGTTGTTTCATCGTTCATTCAAAATATTTCTAAGTTCTCAAGAAGCTTTTGTTGTCGTAGTCTTTCTTCAAACCTTTGGCCCATTTCTCGGCATGGTTTCAGGATATAAACGATGTTTTTTTCCTTGTAGATATTCCTCAAAAAAGTAGATAACATCCATCAAGTAATATGATTTGGGTATTCCTGCGTTTCGTCAGTTCACATTTAGTCAGAAATTCAGTTATTTTGTCTTCAGATAGTCGTGAATGTCGTTGTTTAGTTTACTTGGGGTTGATCGATGGTATGTTTGCCTAGAGACGAGAGAACAAAGATGGCGGTGGATTTGAGTGTAGTATGTTGATCGCATCTTCCAAATTTTGAATTAGCCGATTTAGCCCATGAGAAACGGCAAAATATTTTGAATGAATAACCAAAACGTTTATTCTCAGCTCGATAACAAAAAAAATGCTTCGATTCTGACAGCACTTACCTCAACTGCAAAACTTGCTTTTTCATATAGCATGTCCTCTGCCTTGTTAAGTCCATCTTCTAACATTCGCCTTATGTCAGGATTAGAAGTATCAACACTGACCACAAACTCTGGTCGGATGTAACGCTCCTCGTATAGGGAAGTACAGTGTTCGGTTCCCCAGCGGGCATAGGGATTCATCCAGGGGGTACTATTCGACTGAATCCACCATTCAGGGTCACGGATACTTAGATATTCTCCCCTCTTATTTAGTCTGATGAATAGAAATAAAGCGATAAAATTTGAAAAAAGGGGGAAGGGCTCAATGTAATAGCTCGGTAATTGTCGATTGTTTTGGTCCTTATGAGGGTGCTGGTTAAAGCTTTACCGTTTTTTGATTGAGGTAAAAGTCAGGTGCGACGCTAAAAACTGGGTTTAACAACTCAACGTTTTGAGATGAGTCAGCTTATTGAATGATCCCATTGGTTATCACGTGGAAAGCAGCCTTACAGAATTCAAGCATTTGTACCAAAAAAAAATCTAGTTTTCGTATTTTGTTTATTGAGCCTATGTATGGGTGTCGGATTCCGACGAAATCCAGGTCGCGAAGATCACCATTGATGAAGCCACGATCTCATAGATTAAAGCGACGATCGCATTGCCATAAAATTAAGTTTGACGACGTTAGTCATGCAATGACGGCAAAGAAACCTGCCAAAAAAATGCTACACTTTCAGAGTTTTTGTTTTGCTAGTTTTCTCGTTCCCGTCTTCGTTGTGATTGCGCTGAGTTTGCTAGTAGTGTTACGACGCAAACAATTCTTGATATGGGACGATTTTGCCTGAAAACCGACGATTTGATGGAAACGCGCGACGAAAGCGACGTCCGCAGGTACCCATTCAAAGGCTTTTAATTTATTAGGTGATTTCTGCGATAACAGAATGGTTTTCCCGTTTCATTTAGAACACCATTCATCGAAACTTTCACTCTTTTTTCTCGAGAAACTTGCTGTTCCAAGAGGATACATGTAAGTAGGAAAAATAAGAAAAAGAGCATAACCGTTACCTTTGACCATGTGGTACATGTTTGCCGCAAGTTACCAGCAGTAAAAGAGGTCGGTTGAAGAGCTGATTTCGGAAAGCATCCAATTCAGTTGTTGTCTTCACGAGGTTAATCTTATCGGTGTTGGATAACTCCTGTTTATCGCTGATAATCGTGACCTGAGAGCTATCTGGAAGCCGTAAGACCTCAGCTCCATCTTTGTTCAGTTTAAATTCGTTTGGAGGATTGGATTTGAACGCTGAATATGAAACTAGCACGACTTCAGATGAAGTCTGCATTTTGAGATTTAAAATTGCTTTGTTATAGACCATCAAAGGAATTATTATTGTAAAAGCTACAGCTGTAAGTAACATTGGTTTATAAATGCAAATACAGCATTAAATGAATGTACAAACTAATGAACCCTGATGAGGTAAGACACAGCGTTTTCCAGCTGAACAAATAATCAGAACTAAGAACTTTCATAACCTTATGACAGTCGACCAATTTTCTCCTCTGTGATCCTCTGGGTCCACGTTCAAAAAAAATGTAATTCAGTTTTAATATATTTTCATAAGACGTTATGCAGCAAAAAAATAACAGAAAAGAATCAGCGCTTAAATTTACAATTAACAAACCTATATTCTTGATATTTGAACACCTGCTGACTCTTCCAAAAATACTTTTCGGCGCAATCTTTCGCAGTGGCATAAGAAATTTCATCACTTCCTCTGAGGCAAAGGTACTACCTGCTATAACTACCCCGTGATGTAAATTATAGTAAACTTCGCATACATCACGTCCGATTCGTAAGCCTCGCCTCTGGCGGGCGAGCATCTGATTGGTCAAACCAGTAATTTTTTTCCACCGGTATGGCGGCACTGGCAAGGCGTCTATATTGGGATTGTTTGAGGAACATTTCCCGTAAGCTAGAAACTAATTCATTCGATGTGAGATGAAAAAACGGAGAAATCGAAAAGATACACTTGACATTTACTCTACGGAATTCAGGCAAATGTTTTTTTATCAAGCTTCTCTCTTTTTTTTACGATGCTCTTCGTTGAGGCTCAACTTCGTACCGTTCGAAAAAGTCCGGTGGTGCCCTGCGAAGATCCGACAGAACTTGTTCAACATTTACGCAGAAACGCTTGCTTCTCGGTTTACGCTACTCTTGGAAAGAGAGGGAATGATGAGCAAATTTCATAAAAGTCAAAGTAAAGTTATCGATAGGCGACCGAATTGGAGAAAAAAAATACAAAAAAAAAACGATAAAACTCTTACAAATAAACATTTTATTTTAAAAATTGTTTCACGACTCACTACACTATGTCTTAACAATACATGGTACTTTGGATGAGGAACTCCTAGTTTTACCATCTTTGATTCGTATTTAATTTGTTGGCTGCATTGAGAAAAGAAGTACATTATACCAGCCAGAAGCCTGGTAGAGATTTCTGAGTCAGCATACAGAGTTTACAGATCATAATGCAAGGTTGAAAACTAGTCCTCAATGTAAAGAGTTTGGCAATACTCAACAGTATTGGCAAACAGTACTTACGGTTCTTCAACAATATTTTAGTAGTTTTCAAATGCGGTTTTATGAAGCTCGAGCTGTAGGTCGACTCTGTTCAAACAGCAGTTTAAATTTTGCACTTTGTGTAGGCAAAAATTCTACAAGCTGGCTTAGGTGGTGCTAAGACGAACAAACCTGAGCTCGGAAGCTTAATTTTGCCGTGTGAAGGAGCCTTTTACTGGGCGTTTTGTTTTAATGCAAAAGGCATCGTTATCCGTGGTTATACCACGTACAAGAACGTATTTATATCCTCTTCGTCCCGTCTGAGATACTTATGGTCTATGAGCCACTCGATTTGTTCTTTTATCATCTTCTTCTGTGGGATGAACATGTTTTTAAGAATTTCGACAAGTTCTGTTTGAAGGGCAGCATTCGTTATTCTCTTTCTCATCTTCATGATCTTAACAATCGCCTCCTGAAAAACAAAGCCAACCAGATTACAAGGGTCATTTTCACTGAAGCCGTTGACCGTTTGCGTTTGCCGTGAACGGGATTCTAGATCCACTCTAACGTTTGGTGCAGCTACACCTGGGTAAAAACACGTTCGTAGTCCCTTTCTATTAATCACACACCGGAAAGGACATTCCGTTGAACAACCCAACGGCTGAATGAGTTCTCACTGTTTTAAATGGGTGGCATTTTGTTTTAAAACAGGGTACCTTACTGACAGTGACTTCAAGAGCATAATCAAACTATTCAGTACACTCCCAATATAACAGTACATAAAAGCGAAAGATAAGTCAATGTTTTACACAATATAATCCTCCTTTCCTTTTCTTCGACTAACATCTGCCAATTGAGATTTTTAGATGGAAGATTGCGAATGCATAATTGCGAAGAAACTTAAGTTGCAAATGAATGGAGTGATAAGCGGCAAGAGGTAAGAAAAAAATATGTAGCATCGCACCTGTATTCTAAGAATCCTAAGCGCCACTATACCGTCATTCTCTTCTTGCTTTGTTTTCTCTGTGGAAAGCTGTAGCCGTCCAATGAGATTCACCTTGCCGCGTTTCTGTACCTTGCCATTTTTACTGATTGAAAGAGAGAGACAAAATTAAACAGAAAAAATGCCATAGAAAATTTTAAAAAAATTAACAGTAGGAGGAACGATTGCTAGTAGACACCGTGCATGGATCAGAAACGAAAAAAACAAAGGAACCTACTCAAGAAAGAAGGGAAAATCTCGTTTGCATCCTGCAAGCTTTACGTAGCGTACATGTGGGTACACGCTATCCAATAGTGACCACTTAGCGGCTATTTGGGTTTCAACAAACAAGCAAACACATTTAGGAGTCCCCATGAGAATGTCACGCAAAACTTTATCGGACAACAACGTGACCTCAGAGAAGTTTGCATGACCAGGTACCTCCTCTATGAAGTAAACTTAGAAGAGAATCCTCGACAAACTTACATGACAGCAAACTCTTGATTAACCCAGAATAACGAACTGTCGCTGAAATCTTTTGGAGACTTAGCCTCGGGATGACAAATAAGAATTTGACGCTTGAGTTTGGCGAAGGCAACTAGTGACTACAAAAGAGAGAAGAGTTTCAAATGTAAATAGGCGTATGGATCTTAACGCGAACTAACCTGAGATCAGGCGCTATTTTTTTTTTGCTTATTTGGCTCGAGAGGAAAAAAAATAACGCCTCATACATTTATTTAACAAGCCATCAACCGCTCCTTAATTTGACTGAAATCAACAACAACTAACGGATGGCGGCGTTTTGGCCAATCGGAACAGCGCAAATCGTCCGTATTGTTTCCTATCCAATCCGAAAAAAGTCCAGATTCTGGCTTTTTTGTATGTGATCTGTAAAAGAAATGTATCATGCCCTCCTCCCGAACACAGATTACAGAGATAAAGGGAGAGGGCATGATGCAGGCTGAACGCGAATTAAATATGAATATCAACTGACAATTAAACAGAGTTTGAAGTGACAGAGCCAATAACTATAAGGTTTATAGCGTTCAACCTGAATTAAAGTGTAGAAGACCAGCAGTCAATCAGGATTGTCGTCCGAAGGAGCATGTTACGAGCATTTTGTTAACATTTTGCATGTTACAAGCATGAAGCAAGCATGTCAGTAACAAGCATTATGCGAGCATATTACGAGTATTATCCGAGTATGTTACGAGTATGATGCGAGCACGTTACGAGCATTATGCGATCATATTACGAGAATTAGGCGAGCAAGTTACGAGCATGATGCGAGCATGTCACGAGCAAGATGCGAGCATAATACGAGCACGATGCAAGCCGGTTACGAGCACGCAGTAAGCATGTCACAAGCATAGTGCGAGCATGTTACAAGCACAATGCGAGAATATAACGAGCGTGATGCGAGCATGTAACGAGCACGATGCAAGCATGTTACCCTCTTGACGTAAGAAACGAACACGAGGCGAGCATGTTACGAGTGAACGAATAAGTATAATGCTCGGTGCAACTGCCTGAAGTCTAAAAAAGTGAATGATACTTCTCCACAAGAATAGTAATGATTGCAATGCAGGGTTTTTAGTCGGCTATTTGGTTTTGCAAAACAGTCGGGGCGAAGGAAGGAAGGACTCAGAAAAAAAACGCATGTTTTGAGTCGCTGCAGTCAGCAGTTTAACTTAACTTGAACTTAATATATGGTTAACTTCTTGATCCCTCTCCTTCCGGAGATATAATGGCGTACGAGCATGAGTAAGAAACTACATGTTGTAATTGCGCCAGTAAAACCGAACTGACCTGAATTAGCACAGGTAATAGCATGATTTGTAGTGATATTTGGCATAAATACCACGAGTGATATTTCCAAATTGTTAAACGTAATTTCACGAACCGTTAGGCGAGTGAAATTTGAGACAATTTTGAAATATCACGAGTGGTATTTATGCCAAATATCACGAACAAATAATGCTATTATTTGTTTATACTACTACCCACAAAAGGTTTGTAATTTTCACATGTAGGTATTTCAAATTAAGCTGAAACACCACTGCTCTAAGCCAATCAAATTGCAGAAATTTCTCACGTAGTAGTATAAACAGTGTGTTAACAATTAGAAATCACAAAGCTTACCCACAATGTCCTCCTGAGTTCCGAATCAGGAAGTTCGGAAGCAAGCCTGCAAAATGAAAAGAACACGCATTCAATATCTGATCAACGTAGCGGTTCAACTTTCTCCCTGGTTTAATATTAATTTTTCTTTTGCGTATGATAAAGAGGATAAAGAAAAACAAAAATTTCTAATGAATGCTTGAGAGTAATTTCGCTTTTTTTTGGCTGAGATAACAACTCCTTCTGTAAGTACTATTTTCAAGATGACTCATGCTATGCCCTTACACCGAGACTCATATTGTTCACTTCGGCCAATGGCTGAGACAGGGGAAATCTAACCAAGGCTAACAGCTTCTGCGAAATAGCGACGAAATCCTTGCTCTCGACTTCATTCTGAAGTGCGTTGCAAGATTGGGCAGTCGAACAATGGCTTTTTAACAAGCCAACCACGGCGCGTACTCAAATCCTGGTACACAGCCTGGGCCCAGAACAAAGATTACGGCACTGGATTGCAACCGAACGCGTAACCAGACTTTTAGTTCCGTCTCTGGCGAAGGCTGCGATAAGCTCCAGTTCTAGAGTTGTATGTACTAAATACCAAACATGAAGAAAGGCAAAACAAGGCTGTACTTTACTGACCTCAAATTTTCGAAGGATATCTTCTCGTGTGGTCGCTCATTCCAGGCAAAGAGAACAGCCATTTGAAAAGTCGTCACTTCAAGGTCAAATTTCCCAATTTTGTTGGCAAACGTGATCTTTAAAAGAAGACTCCAGTGTCTCAAAAAGACTAAATCAATATCTTACAAAATGTTCTAAAGTCCCGTGTAAACGAACGCAAAATTGTTGGATTTTACATGTTGCGTCCGTTTGCACACCCTGTTGCATGTTGTTGCGTGTTGTTGGGACTTGTTGCGCAAAGTTTGAAACCGGTGAAACTTTTGCACCAACAACTCCCAACATTAGTTTTGTTCTGTGATCGCCAAAGCGTAGCGCAACAATGTTGGGTCGATTTGCGCAGCTCTTCCGACATTGTTGGGGCCACGCTCACGAATTACACATGGTCTCCTTAAACATCAATCACGTGTGTCAAAATATTGTCGCTCGAATTCTGATTATGGAATAATCCACTGCGAGTCCCAACATTATTGGGAGTTGATGCGTCCGTTTGCACACCTCTGCCAACACTATCCAACAACTCGCAACATTTTTCAGGCCAGCAATGTTGGTAGTTGTTTCGTCCGTTATTATATCAACTGTTCGAAAGAGATCTCGGTTTAAAATTACTAATTTAGTAAATGGACAGATGTGGTGTATCAAGACAAAAAAGAAAAAACAGCTAATAGTACGTTAGTAAAACTGCACAACTTCTGCGTGAAATACGTGTCGACAAGCCAAAGCATTGGCGAACACAAGTTACTAAAGAAAGCGTGATAAACGAGATTCAACCTTTCAGCCCAGTGATTGAACAACATAAGGGCGTGTCGATTTTGTTTTTGTATAAAATTTAAAGCAGGTGAAAAAAGGAAGTAGAATTTACAAACACGTGCGTATGTACTATGATCTCTAGGAGGTGAAAAATATGAAATTTGTTCATCGCTTCCAGCGAACTTCTGCTGTGTCCTTTAAACCAAGAACTCGAAGACACCTTGGTCTGACCCGAAGTCTTTTTGTTCATACGGTCAACTGTCCCTTGGACAGACACCTTCGGTACCGGCCCTGACTGTCCGTCTCAGAGAGGTGTTTAGTTGAGAGAACGTCAAGGTATCGTAATACCAATAATTTTACAGCTGAGCCTTTTTCGCAATGAATACACGACGCTTGTACAAAACAGCTAAAACTGGAATATTGTACACTAGAAAAGTTGAATTATGTCGTCACTGTGAAATGATATGTTCATTACAAGCAAACTAACACGGCCTCATGGTCTAAAACCGTAACAGTACACATTCTGCGAACTGGAGCACTTTTACTGTCATGTAGAGCAACTAAAATTTTGTTCTGAAGTATTTTTCACTGTATAAAACACTTCCCAGTTGTCCGTTGATGGTTTCAAGAGTGTCCGTTGTCTGTGTTAGAGAGGTGTTCGTCTTATAGAGAGTATAGCTACAGTAAAATGACTGAAAAACAGCAGGGACCAAAAACAGGTGTCCGTCTTAACGTCTTATATAGGTGTCTCTCTTATATAGGTGTCCGTTTTACAGAGGTGTCAGTCTTATAGAGTTGTCTCTCCTATAGAGGTGTCCGTCTTAGAGACGTGCCAGTCTTATAGAAGTGTCCGACTTATAGAGGTGTCTCTCCTATAGAGGTGTCCATCCTATAGAGGTGTCTCTCCAATAGAGGTGTCCGTCTTATAGAAGTGTCTGTTGAGAAAGAGTTAACTGTAAAGAAAGCTAAAGAAAGACTTTATCAACTAACTCACCACTCCATTCGACATGAGATGATGCCACTGTAATTTTCGGCCACTGTGGTTTTTCCGGTAAAATTCTTCCACCTCAGGGATATAATCTTCCAGCTAAAACGAAAACGGTTTGTTAACTTTCATTAGAAACAACCTTCTCATTTGCAACGTGTGTTTTAGAGACTGAATGTGAATTGAAAATCAAACTTGAGTGATCGCTAAAATCGACCGCTTTCAAGCCTAGTTTGAAATGTTTTTTATTATTTTATTAAGTAGGATTTCATTCACCGTTAAGAGGAAAATGACCAAGGATGTTTAAAATTTTTATTTCGATTTAATTTTCTCTACATTTTTCTGCAAATAATGAGCTTCTTTTCCTTGAAAACAATGCGTTCCCGAGTAAAATTCTGCTGACAAATGGCAACGACTTCAAACGTTCAGAGCTTTTTTAGCAAACTTCCAAATCGTTTGGTACTACAACAACATATCGGAAATATATTAGTTTCTGAAGTAACAACCTTAGTTTTAGAGTACTTTGCTTGGCTTTTGGAAATTTCTCTCTTTTGACCAAGGTGAAATTACTCAAATAGCCGATCACAATACAGGCTGACAATCAAATGAACCAATCAGAGAAAAACGTCCAAGTTGAGAGAGTAGTGCGAGATATTCCAGCCAATCATAAAGCTTCCTTGTCGGTAACATCGAGAACTGCCCATTTATACTGACGACGGTAGAACTAAAGTCCACTGCCACGAAAAAACAACTTGCATAAAACCAAAACAAAAACGAGGCATTCACCTCAGTAGGTAGTGAAACAGGTATTCTTTCTGAAGCTCTGGACCACGCTCCAGCATTCAGTATCTTGATATTGACCGAGTCTGCATGAAAGAAGAGTACGATTTAATAATCAAACGCAGGCTCCAGGACTTGTTACAATGAAGTGGGCACAGGCAATTGAAAGACGCTGTACTACATTGAATTATTTTGTAGAAATAGCGGGGGGGGGGAGTAAACCTGAACCCTAATGGCTTAGTGAGTTGGAATTATAATGGCATAAAAACGTTGTAGTGAGAGACAAGATGTGGCTACAAAGTGAAACTGATTTTACATGTTTTAACAGAGAATCACACTTCAGCAGCTTTTCCTGACAGCACCAGTTAGCTCAGTTGGTAGAGCGCCGGACTGCTGTGCGGAAGGTCTCGGGTTCGAGCCCTAGACCGGACAACCACTCAGGGTCTTAAAATAACTGAGGAGAACATGATGCCTTTGCAATGACATCTGCAAATGGTTAGACGTTCTAGTCTTCTCGGATAAGGACGATAAATCGTAGGCCCCGTCTCCTGCATCTTCAGTGTTATATGGTCAGCAGGGGACGTTAAAAAACCTACGCACTTGTCGTAAAGAGTAGGGCACGGAGTTCCCGGTGTAGTGGTCTGGCCTTGTTTCACGGGTTGGTGCTTTTCATAAGGTTTACCTCAGTGCACCTTTCCCTCCTTGGCCAGATTTGCCCAAGGAAAAATGCGTATTATCGTAAAAATGATACCTTTGTAAACAGTCTCCCGAAAAGTTAGTAAATATCATACTCGTGTGAAGTGTGTCTAGTCCGGCTTTGGGTGTACGTAAAGGTTTAACATTCTAAGAGGAGGGGGAATGCGTGCGCTAGAACATTTATATCGCATGTACTGATTGACAACAAAGGAAATACGTTATCCTGGCTCAAAGTTTTATCCAGGTAGTGATGATTTGCGTTGATCGGCTATTTGTTAATTCCAGCAAAATCACAGCACAGATGACGAACTTTGTAAGCTTTACCTGCGATGTCACCTTTGTTCATATACTCTGTTTTGAAAGCCTGGTTAAGGTCGTTACTGACTTTAATATCTTGGAACATACGAGCTAGTTTGTTGATATAATCAGCAGGCATTCCCACATCCTAAAATAGAGCAAAAAAAAGTTGTATTCAACAATTCATGGCTATTTTTTCTTTACAACTTACAAATCATTTGACCTCACTAGTTAGTCGCTGTAGCCAAGAAAGCGGGTTTGAGGACGCTAAAATTGCAATGATTGTATTGCACTGCCGAGAACTGCACTGTATGAAATCTTGTCATCTCATAGACTCATAGACCTCAGCCTCCTCGGTAGCTGATGGATGCCCGCAGTGATACTAACGCTAGTGAGATGATTTGTCACTATAAGTTTTAAGTCTACGGACGAAATCCCATGTCGGTATTGGAATAACTTCCACACAGGATAATTCATTTCTTAAGATTTTAAAAATCAAAGTTTGGAATTTTCAGTGAATTTCAATTTGGGTACAAAGGATTTGTCATAAGCAGGTTCAGGTAATATTACCCTAAGCCATTCCACCATGTTTTCTTCCATTTCGCTGTCAGCTGAAGTGTCCAGGATTAATCTCCTCGTCAAATGAGCCTTGTGGTACCTAAATGCAACAATAGTGTTCATCTAACAACGCATATATTTCTTCTCATCTACTAAGCCTGAGAAGGTTTGCCTATACAATATAGTGCACTACACGTCGTCGCCCAACAATGCTCACCAAGAAAGGATTACTTTTGAGATATGCAGCCAAAATTAACTCGTGGCACAACAGCATTAGTTTTCATTGCTTTGCCTAAGCGCACGGCATACTTTCGTGACGCAGGAGTTGACATGGCTTCTACTTCTTGCAACACAACAAGTTGCACAAGAAATGGCCGGCCTTGTTACCTAGATTAATCATTGGAAATCATTTTTCCCGTCACTCATTACGAAGATTCAACTACCGCGATGACGACGGCAATAGAATAATCACTTAAAAGGAATATGTATTCTTTCCAAAAAGAAAAGAAAGATGCGTCGTCGCGTGCTCACGTCCTCAAATCAAACGTTACATTATTACGAAGTTACACGTCACTGACGTGCAGTAAACAACAAAGAAACGTTCCAAAACATGTTACACACGTGCAGATGTATAATCAGTTCCATTCGACGATATATTTCGTGTAAGCTGCCCTTTGTTCTGTAGTAAGCATTGAGGACCCCGCTAACAGCCAATTTCGTCAATATGCCCGCGTAAAAAAAGAGACGGACTGTCTATAACACTGAGCTGTTTTTTTTTTTTTTTTTTTTTTTTTTTTTTTGCCTCATAACGATTATTCTGATATGTATAATTCATACCTCATGAATACATCTTTATTGATGACATACTTTAAAACCAGTAACTGAAATTGAGGAAAGCTGGGATTAGTCTGACGTAAACTCCAGCAAACTAACTAAGAATTTACGGGTGCCCCACCCTTCCTAGAGAGTTACACTTTCACTGGCAGCGTTTCAGGAGGGATAACACTGCGCCACAGAAGAAACTAAACTGTGGTTAAGTCTGTCAACGAAACAGCGCTGAAATCCTTGTTCTGGGCCCCCACTTGTGTACCAGGATTTGAGGGCGCAACATGATTGGCCTGTTGAAAATACCATTGTTGATTTGCCAATCAAGACAAAAGAAAATTCGAAAGGAACTTCCGGTAATTCGTTGAGTCCGTTGGGGGAACAGAACAAGAATATCGGCGCTGCTTTGCAGACGTCACTAAGGGTTGATTTCCAGTGTCGCGTATTTTTTACTTGCGTACGTGCGTAAAATTTTCGTTCGCAAATATAATAGAGGTAATGCATGAAAGGTCGCACGTAAGCGTAAATGTAGAGCCTCGCTCAACTTGACGTTTAATCTCAACACTTTATATCTTGTCTCTATTTTATTTACGTGATTAAAATTTACGTGCGTTAACATGCGTAGCCAAAAACGCGTCAGAAGAAATCAACCTTAACCGAGGTTAAATTACGTCTGCGACAAAGGCTAACTATCTCCTAAAGACAAGACAGCTGGTCCTTGTTGTTCTTCGGATATATCCTTTGACTCTCTAAAAGGCGAAAAACTCTGTATACGACGAACAATAAGTGTCGATCTCAAAGGTGTCCGTCTAAGAGTGAATTGACTGTTCTAATATATTTTTTTTGTAAGAAAACAAGTTAAGAAAAAAATATAAATCGCAAATACATCTGAGGTACTATGCGAGTTCGTAGCCTACGAAGAGCATCTTGATCACGTTATATTTAGAGCTCACAGACACGTTCAATACCGTTACAAATACTTACAACGTCTCTAAGCTTTGCTTGAATTTCATCCGAAGTTAATTTTTTGCTGTACGGAGTTTTTCTGAGAAGCATGTCACAGAAATTGGCCAGCAACTCTGGACAGCGGGACTCTGGCTGTGTCTTGACGCTCAAGCCACCACCACCACCACTTGAAAAAACGGAGATAAGTTTTAAGATATACTTTAATCATTTTAATACTTTCGTGTAACAGTTTACCAAGATTTTCAAGATTCATACCCCGAAATATTTATCATACTCTAGCATGGTTCGTACAATCTTGAAAGGGTCTTGACTTCTAGTAGTCTTCTTGAAAAGTCCATGAATTCGGTTAAAGACCTTAAAAAGTACTTGATTTATTCATTGGGTCTTGAAAAGGTTTTGAAATTCACTCTTTTGTTTACGCCACACCACTTTCTGTGAAACTGGATTATTTCCCAGAGGAAAATTCGGCTCCTCCTCGGTGTACGAACCTGTAAAACTCACAGGTAACGTAAAAACATTTTTGTGCATTGATTCCGTTTCTTTATTTCAAATACTTATTTCATACTTAGTTACTGCAAAGTGTTGTTACGCAAAGTAGTCCAAAATAAAGTGATCAACCATGATTGAAGAAGTAAAAATCGCAAATGATTCCATTGTGTTTTAGCCAATAAGGTGTTCAAAAGGGGGTTAAAGAATGCCGATTTTTGAAAACTGTAATTTGTCCTTAAAAAGACCTTGAAAAGTTCTTGAAATTTGCTTGTCTGAAGTTGTACGAACCATGTCTTGGTAATAGCATTTTCCCAGAATTAGAATAACTCCTCTCGTTAAACACCAAAAATTAACAGGTAGTTTTTCTCTTGAAGAAATTATCTGGTTAGAGACAGCTAAAAGTTAATCTATAATTTTGCCATCATTTTTTGTTCCGTACAGGTGTTGACAGCTCTCTGATAGCTGTCAACCATCTTTCTCAAAACTGGCCAGGCTCCGGCAAAGTTTAAGGGAAGAACGTGACACCTACTTGGTATTTAAGCTTACCAGACTAGTACCACAAGCATTTGCGTTCCCTGCTTCTGATTGGTGAGAGCTCCAGTTAGCTACCCCCTCCCTCCCTCCCCGTCCCCTCTCTGTTTGAGGCTATTCTTCACGAAACACTCTGATATGCGTGTGTTTACTACTCAGAATTATACATTTTTTTCTCTACAATCAAAATTAATGTAGAAATCAAGTACTATTTTCTTACGCTTTACTCTTGTTTGGAAGTTCCAATCTAAAAATTGTACTGTCATTCACAACTGTCTTGAATGCCTAAAAGTTCAAATGAAAGAACGTTTAAGTTATTTTCGTATTTTTATTACGCTACGTAAACAGCACAAATAGAATTTGTTAGAGAAATATCCAGTCGTTTTTAATACAAATTGTCAAACGAGCAAATCAACAACTTATTATCTTCAGCATATCACCAACACTTTTATTTAAGCGTTCCGTAATGTATATGTAATCTTCGGCATAGTTTAACCACTGCACAGAGAAGTACCCGCAGGAAACCTACAGGTATTCTGTAAATAATGCAGATCTTGCTTTCCGGGTAGTTAATATAATATTTAGGTTAAAAAACACTCTTGCTTTCAGGCACAAAACTGTCTGTACGATTACACCCACTTCAGCTATGACCGAAGAAGCAACGTTCCTTAGCTTAGCGCAACCACTCCCCAACACAGAAAATATTTCACCGTGACGTAACCCATGGAGTTAGCTAGAATAACAAGTACATCTAACAGCATTGTATCACTCTCCTACAGTCGAAAAGATTATGACTAGTCAGTCATTACCCTCAAGGACAATAAATCGAGCGAGCGTGAAAATCGCCACCCACGAAGAAGGTGGCACACGAAGGAAGAGAAAAACACCTTCCTCGCGTGTGGCGACTATTCACGCGCGCTGACGTACAATGTATTTTGCTTTCCCTACTTTACCAACAACTCTACTCTAATAGAGGACGCTTAAAGAGCCATAAAGCTCTTGAAGTGTTGGCGGGGTGACAACAAAGTCTCAATATTTGTACTTTACAGGATTTTTTAGTTTTAATGAAATTGTTATTTTCTAGTCTGATTTCGCCTCACCTTATCTCTAGCTGTAAGAAATCGTGGATCATCACTAAAAGCTTCTTTTACAAGTTTGCTAAATCGGTTAAACAGCATTAGTAACTGCTCCACATATTTCTCAGAGTCCTGTAAAGAACAGAGGCACAAACCGTCAATTAGTGCTGAAAGAATCACAAGATCCTGGAGAAGTAAAATTAAATGTCAAATCGAAGTTCAAATCAACAAGAAAGTTCAATAGGATTTAAGTCCCAAATTGGATATTTACTGTGAATGTTCGATTCGATCAGTGCCCCTTCGAAAAAAACGCCCGCCCCCCCTCAAAGTAAGTATGCTTATTGAAAAAAATAAAGTATATTTCTCTAGTACGTGTACTAGAGAACACAATATGTTGGAAGCTTGCATTACTCCTGTGATTTTACATGTATCCGTACGTACATCTGTACCTTCTTATCATAGTATAAGTCCTTTATTTAACATTTAACATTCCTTCAAACACTGGGGATCAGGAAAAAAACATTCTCATACTTGAAGTATGTTATATTTTATGAAAACCACTATAACCAATAAACTTACGCTCGTGATGGTATCAGCAGATGCCTTCATATCATCAAGACCTGTAGTTACAATATAAGACTCTAGATTGGCTATCATGGGATCCACTCCCCCTCTAACGCGATCCATCAGCTGGAACATTAATAGCAATTCTGTGGAAAACATCATTGCATTTGTTATAAGTGTTCACGTGTTTATTGTGATTTCCTAAAAACACATGAATTGTTAGTCTTCAATGTAGCAGCCAAAATCTTTTAAGTGTAAGTCTTCGTTTATTTATTGGATTTTGTTATTGCTGTTGTTGTTGTTTTACACTATTTTAAGCCCAGCCCAAAAATTAGAAAAACCCATTATTTTGAAGCTCGGCCTAAATGGCAAGATTTTTGCAGGTCTACCCATGACAGTTTGATGAAATAAATCCTCTTGAACTTGTAAACAATACACTCACTTTCTGTTTCATTGGCAGCGATCATTCCTGGACACTCAGCTAAGATGGTTTCTTTAAAGCTTCCAACGAGGACATTTACACAACACTCTGTCAACTGAAAAAACGAAAGGAAGGTACATGTACATAAAGAATGATAACTGGAAACAACATCAAAAAGAACATAGTGTGCATGCATTAAAGACTGTGAAGGAAAAATCAATTACATTATTAAGTACAGGAAAGATTTAACGAAAGTTTTTTTTTATCGTTTTGTTGACAACTTAATTTAAAATACTTCATTCACATCTATTTTTTTACTTATAAGTTTTACATTAAACGTACAAACTTATATTTTAACTATTTTCAGTGACTGATAATAAGTGATATTGCCTAGTTCAATCAACTTAGATTCAATATACTTTTAAAACAACAATTTCTGCAAATATACTGTACATTCATGTAGCTTACCACTGCAACTGAATCACAGCCTTTCCTAGTTTCAAGATAACGAACAGCTCGCTGCTCCTCCTCTTTTAACTTCATTTCAGCCTGCAAAGAGACACTAATGTCAGCCAAGAATATTACACGATTCTTGGCTGGAATGTGGTCAGCAATGCTGGCTGGCTCAAAATTCTTTTACTGAAACAGAGAACTAGTCTGAGGCTAGTGGACTGTATCAAAATCTGAAGCCCTCCCAAGCAGAGGTCAGGACTTAGCCACACATCCCTTCCCTACAAATGACATTCGTGGGGAAGGAACGCATGACAAGCCCTAAGAACGTCTGTGTGGGAGTCTACGAAGACTGTAGATGTATCAATTTTGCTTCCATTGAATTTTACTCCTTATGTAACTACAAAAGTGTCAGGGAGAATAAATATATAACATGATCATGCATAATACATGTACATACATATTTCATGTAATTCTGCACTCCATTTTCCTGGAGGTATGCTGCAGCCTGTGTTCTGTAGAATCCCTCTGTAGCCTCCACATATGCCTTTTCAAAGTTTTCTCTGTAAATCTTCAGTTTGTCCAAAGCATCTGAACTCAGATTAACTGTCAATAGAATATCATAAAATATTTCAGCACTGAAAAACTTACACTTAACAAGTGATACATTATTTTGAACATACAGGTGGCAGGTTTAATTACAAGGATCTAATGTGAAACTATCCTTTTGAAACACTTTGTGACAGTGAGAAGGAAAATCCTAGGATGTCAATCAACTTGCTTAGAGCTGAGTTGTTATCCAAAGGTTTAACTTAACAGCTTAACTTAACTGACATACTATTCGAGGTAGAAACACAATATGTCTTCTTGCTCTTGTTTAATATATCGCCCAATAATAATAACAATATTGGATTGTAAACTAAACTGAAAATCCAGAAAAGAGCCTCTTGATGTTGTACAAAACTACATGTATCTGAAATTTTTAAAAACTGTTATTTCTCTTAACACCATTTTTAAATATTCATTTTTGGTGTGTTTGTTGTACATTGTAAACTGCCATGTTTGTGATTTTGCTGGTTTCCATTATGATAGTCACAATAGCTTCAAGTTGAGCAACCACAGCAAATATGGAACAACACTGCAGTAATTGTTGCAACAATGTGTGCCACATATTGACTTCAGTTCTACTGTAAGGGTCATTTCCATAATAATAAATTATTGTAATCAATGTGATCACCACAATCAGTTACAGTTGTGGATGGACTTGGAATAGCAATCATAAAAGTCTTATGACCAACCACACTTTACATGAACAAGAAAGGTTTACACACCATATGATTCTCTTACACCAATAACTAACTGAGAGTCAAAAGCCTCTCCATTTCTCTCTGCATGTACCAGTTTCATGGCACTTGACTGCAGCCGTGATTTGATGTCACTGAAAATTCCACTATTCCAACTGTCCAACATCAACTTATTTTGAAATAAAACAGGAAAAGTAGCAGGATTAGTTCAGTTAATAATTCAAATCATATGTTTGACCAGCAGATCCTCCACGGGCTGTCTGATGTGTGGGTGTGAATAATGTTCAGAAATTTTGCAAAATTTCCAGGAGGTCACATCAAGGAACAGATAAGGTCTATTATAATAATCTGCAGAAATTATTTGATTTCTCTATAGAAGATCTAGATATTTACATAGCTTGCTTACATTTTAGGAGATTCCCAAAAAATAACAATGCAGTTCTACACCCTTGTTTTAATGTAAGGGTTGATTAGAAGAAGGCTTTTACATGTAAGTTACTCCTTAGACTGTTCTAAGTCTCCCATTTTTCCATAAGATCCTTGTGATCAAGGATTTACAGTGCACCCGTATGGCGGCCATCTTGGCTTCAAATGCACCAAGCCTAGCATTGGGATGGGCATCAAATCTACTTAGGAGGTGGAGGGACACAGCTATAACCCCCAATGCCTACCCCCTTGGTACTTTTGAAACCAAAATGGCCACCTGTAATGCAAAGCGATTGACCTTGATGCAACGATCTTACCAAAAAATGGGCTGTGAACAGTCTAGTTACTCCTGATCTAATACATAGATTTAGCCAGGGCAAAAAGCAAAGCTCTCGATAATATTTAGAGTTTGTGCAAACAAAATATAAAATCGTGTAATGCTAAGCAGTGAAGGCATGCAACGCCAGAAAATGGTGAAAAACAACAATAGGTCTAATTAGCAAAAACAACTTTGAACGTGCAGCACACTTTTTTTGTACATTTCTTTGCCGTTGTTTTGCAGGACTACAACGTGAAACTTCCAGAAACTTCTTAGTTACACGTTTTTATGGAGGAAATGTCGTACGTGTTCCCGTTCACTTTTTTTCACTGCCACTCATTTTCACCTTGCATTGGTGGCCGCTAGCATTTCTCATTTTGTCACCGTCGCTACAAAATGTTCATGTTGTTCTTGCAACAAAAAAGAGTCTCCTTCGCATTTTTATCTCTCGCTCTAAATCCCTGTTGCCCTTTTTCTCGTTGAGCTTCGCTGGCCTGCCGGCCACTTTCTCTTTTTCCCTGTCTTTCTCTTGCTCTATATTCCAAATTTGTGGACATGACAATTTATCTAAGCTTTAATACTTTAGACAACTCGGATACAGAAACAATTTGCGCTTTCCATTTTTGTCTTTATCGACTCTGTTGTTGTCTCTGACGCCGGTGGCTATGCGATTTCCCGCCAAAATAACCTCCAGTTGCATTTGGGTTGCCATACCTGTTGATTGAGTTATTTTACGTTGGCATGCCTGGTGTGTGGACGGATGGTCTCTCGGGCGGGCGGGTGGTGTACGGTCACATGATTACCAAGATTAATACATTTTTTTACCCATGGTGCTCCCCTGGCACGCTTTCCGCACGAGAGCTTTGCTAAAAATTAATCCAACTCTCCTTTTACTTCTGACCAAATAAAAGGTAATAAGTAAAGAGAATTTAGCAGTTCATAAGAATTAATTGGGCCTTTCTTCCAGGAATACCATTATTATACATCCGCACGTCCACAGTTGATGGTGCAAAGGAGCCCTTACTCACCACATTAAAGGTAATACTGCCGGTCACAATGAAGTTCAGGTTGTACATGTATGGCTTTCATCCTTAGGCTGGTTTTATTTTCAGTCTCCTTTGTCTTCAAATATTATTTTATTATCAATTCATGTTTATGAATAATTACAGTTAGGAGACAAAGGAAAATGAAAATGTTATTACAAGTAGGTTGAAACCATTTTAACCTAAACTTCATTTCAAGTTACAAAATACAGATTAATTATTTATTTGCACATTGGTGTATTTCGTACCTTCTGAACTGTCATACCATCATTAGGAGGTCTTTTACTTGTTCCTCCTCCAGCTTTACCCTGCAGGTTAGACTCCAATGTACCAAATGGCTTAGGAAGGTAGTTACATTGTGTGAAAAACTTGGACCACTCACTGATGTAAGCTCTTAACAAGGTGGAATCATCCTCGTGCCTCAATACACGCTGTGAGTCAAAACAATTTTAAATGATTATTGGATGAGGCTTTTGTGATATCTGGAATAATCAAGGTCGAGGTACATGTTATCGGCAAAGCCAAAGGCCGAAGTTGATAAAACTTACATGTCCCTAGACCTTGATTATTCCGGATATCACAAAGACCGAATCTAATAACTGTTTTATTATACATTGTATAAATAACGACAAATACAACATCACACCGAACCAATTTGACATCGCACTTGGAAATCATGCATTGCGCGTGCAGGCTACAGATTAGTCAGTTATCTGCTAGCAGATAACTAGCTAATCTGTAGGTTGTGCTGATTTCCAAAATTAACTGTAGGATCATAGTCAATAAGATAGTGAGTACAATGTATAATATTAGACAAAAAGTCTGTATCTACATGTACTTATGTCACACAATTACTGGTGATCTGGTAGTTCACATCATGGCCCACAAATCTTTAAAACAAATTGTTAAATAAAAATAACATGGACAAGCAGTGAGAATCCATCTGGCCAGAGGTGCTCATAAATTTTCATACAGCAGTGTAGTAGCTTACCTCTTGCACTTGTTTAATGAATGCAGTAACTTCATCTTTTAAAGCTTTAAATACTTTTTGGGGCCCCTTGTCATCCCAGTTACAAACTTTATGAACATCCCTAAAGACAACAAAAGAATTTTAGTACCATCCACCCAGCATCATGGGAACATCCCCCACCATAACGATTTAATTCCCATTTGGGGTGATAAATTATTTCATGAGGATCTCTTATTAGAGACGGGACGCTTCCTCTCAAGGCTAGTGATATTACGTGATGGTGTAATTCTGCACGATTTCTTTCAAATCACATCTGATTACAAAAGTAAATTTCAATTTATGTTTAATTTAATTAACTTTGGAAACATGATGCAGAACCTCTGAAATTTTATAATGTTGCTGTGACTGTATGCAGTGGCCACTTCATTTCAGCCTACTCAAAAGAAATAAGAAATTTGCCACATGATAGGACTTCTTTGCCACATAACGTGTACGTCCTCACCAAAATAATACATAATTTCCTGATATTTTTTTGCACACTACCAGAAAGCTTGTCTACAGGTATTTAAACATTTATTAATGTATTTATTTACTCATTTTTTATTTATTTATTTATTGATACAACCAAAACAATACAAATGTAAAAGGTATGGATAGAATAAAGCCTCAAGTGACTTCAGTTCTGATCAATTTATTGCCAGATTCTACTTCCAATTCAACAACATCTGAACATGCAAATCAAATGGAGAATTTGATATCACATCAGGAATCACCAAAGCCTAATTTGGGATAGTTAAGTGGGAAAGTACTGCAAAAGAGTGTGTCTCCAAATTTTAGATCTCCAGAGGTTGGCATCGGCAGAGTTTGCATTCGTTTTACTTGTCGTTTTGTTCTAGCTTATTGTGTACAAAACACAACCTACATAACATAAAACTCCCTAAGGAAAGGACCCCATTTTTCAAAAGGTTGTTAAGGCTATCCACTGGATGAATCTCTATCCAGTGGGTAACCAATCAGATTCTCTAACACTTATCCTCTGGATAGGAATTTATTTAGTGAATAGAGCTATCGATTGTTTGAACAACCGACGCGCATATGCTGCTATTATTTGAGTCTAATGTGCTACTAACAGTAGTTTGTGTATTACAGGGCTGTGCTCTAGCAGAGCCCTGTGGACCCTAGTCCCTAACTTTTGTCATTGGGTGACTAGGAAATCTTATTTTTTTCATACAAATCATATGCTGGGCACCCTAGATTTCACAGTTTCAAAGCACTGGGCTCCCTTCAATTTTCCCTGGAGCACAGCCTAGTCAGTAAGCACTAAATACTGACTGTAGAACATGCTGGCCAAATTTCAGCTTTGTCTATTTGTTCACCATGTTTCCTAAAGACCCGTTCATGGTTTTGAGGGCATGCTGGGTAATCAAGACAAGATGGCGGGAAAGTCAAAAGTTTTTATGGGAATTCAAAGTCAACTAATTCTTCCTAATTGAATATATTTGTTGCTTTCTCTTTGCAAACTTTAACTAATGAACTATACACTAAATGTGGACAGCACAGCAGTCCCTTATCCCTTTTTAGAAAATTTCACTTCTTCCACACATTATGTGTAGTTATTGTGTTGTCGGATTACAGAAAAGATATGGAAGAACTTAGGTTTTCTAAAAAGCAACAAAGGACTGCTATGCACTCCAAATTTAGTGTGTAGTTTTAAGTTCATTAGTTAATGTTTGCAAAGGGAAAGTGGCAAATATATTCAATTAGCAAGAATTAGTGGACTTTGTATTTCCATACAGACTTGATTTTCACACCAACATGTCTGGCAAGGTCTAAAGAACAGGTCACTGCTCCATCAATAAATTAGCAAACCAAAAAGATTCCCCTCAATCTAATAGAGCATAATTGTTAAAAGATTAGGGCTAGGAGACACTTTTAATGCTTTTCATTTATCTGTATGATGGTGTTCTGTACTCTGACATGTGGAAAAGTGACCTGTATTTTAGATCCCCCCGCAAAAAATGCGAAAATAGACCAAACGTGGGACTTTATCTTTAGCAAATCTAAGGCAAAGTGAACAAGCAGGTGAATAAATAAAAATTTCAACTCCAACATCTTCGGACAACAACTTTCTGCCAAAAAACCATTCAAATGCCCCATCAAAAGTTCATTTTAAGTGATCAAATGCCCACACCCTGAGGAAACAACAACTACAACAATAATAATTATTGTTATCTCTTCAAATGTACAACATGATCTTGTTTGACAAATGAGCAGGTTGGAGAAGAGTAGACGCAGTGCATGGAAAAACGACACGACTGCCAGACTTTACAAATAGCACGTCGATTTGAACAAAAAAACAACTATGAGTGTATAATTATAAAATGTCGCTTTTCTGAGTTTTTAAAACCGCTATGCGATCCTAATCAATGGGAAAAAATAGCTAAGAATGAATATGGTCTGATGCGCTGAGTCTCTCGATCGACCGGCATATTATTTGTTTTACTTACCAGAACAGATTCTGCCATTCTTGGGTCGTAACGGCCTGTTGTTTTAGAAGCTTGTTCACTGTAGGTTTGAGTTCATGCCATTTATCCTCAAACTGCACGCCGGGTCGCTTGGAGTTCAAAAGCAAAGTGGACATTTTTTCGACATTTTCCTTCAACCCAAGGATGATTTCGTGACAGGAACATAGCATATCCTTTGAAAACATACCGCACGCCGTCTATCTCGCAGGCTCATATCATACTCGAACGAAACGCAAGGCATCGTGGGGTTGCAATCTTTTTTAACGTTGCAGCCAGAATGTCACTCGTGGCCTAGGTAGAACCTCGATATCGGGAATTGGACTGTCTACGACGCAGTCTACATTTCACAGAAAAGTTTTTGGAAAATCTGAAACCATTTTCAGAAAATACAAAACGAAATCAGGGCTCGTCTGCTTGCATGTTGCAGGGGAGGGGTAGCATGAGTGGCAGGTGCAAAAAGGGGAGGGGGTAGGGGAAAGAAAAAAACGCGAAAGAGGAGAAAAGGGAAGGGAGCCAGCGTCCGCAGCGATGAACAAAAGGAGGTTCTTATAGCAGGCGTCCCTTACCCTCTCTCACCAATCCCCCTCCTTTTTCCTCCCTATCCCCTGCCCGTTTCGACGCCTGCTTCGCGGGCTAGGGACGGGTCACGTCCTTCGTCAGGATGACCAATCACCTCGTACAAACTATGTGAAACAGCCAAAAAAGCGGGTCATTTTGTATCCACGAGTGATTGCGCAAAATCAAACCAGTTTGAGCCTGCAACCGCAACCAAACGAAACCATCTTTCAGACGGCTTAGGAGCGCTTACCATTTGTACGGAAATTTCGTCGAAAAATTTCCGTCAAATGGTACTGGTATTTTTTTTTTTGGCACCGAAAACAGGAACAGGATTGAGTTTTACCATGTACAAAATACCGGTAAATGTTTCACTTTCTCTCGAACATGAAGCCTGGCACTGGTAATCCACACAAATTTATGGCACAGAAAATTTCGGTCGTTTCGGTAAGAACGGGAAAAAGGTAATACCTCGAAAGGTATTACTTTTTTGCGAAAAATTTCCACCGGGATGAACTGTCCCATTTGAATTCTCCCCGGAATTTCCGGGTATTCCATACAAATGGTAGGCACTCCAGGTCTTTCAGGTAAGACTCTTGAACCTCATGGGCTAAACCGCCGTGACGAATTATTGTAATCCATATCCTTAGTATTTTTCCTTTCCAGTTTTATGTTGTACGTCATTTCCGCCTCTCCCTTTTATTGCGGCATTCTCCATCTTGATGGTTTTCACGGTGACGTCATCAGATTGCAAAGTCAAAAAAGCGAGGTTTTACGAATTCTTATTTACACTAGGTTGAAGATTGATATGAAATAAACCTTTGTACAAGTTTCCAGCCCCGAAGCATGTTTCATTTCGAAAATACAGCAATTTGAACTTCCCAGTTTTCACAGTGCGTGACACCAAAATAGGAATGCTGTCTCCTTGAAAAAAGTCTCTCCGCTTGATTTTCAGCAGTTTAACCATTTCAAGTATTAGAAGATATGTTTATGCGTACGTATGCTAGTTCTCGAGTGAAAAGGAGGAGCTTTTATAGAAACAGTGAACTCCAGATGTTTTTGTTGATTTCCGGCGGCCATATTGGTGGACAGTTTCTGTCCACCAATATGGCGTAATTGCTACATAAGTTCAGTAACATCTGTAAACCTGAAGAAGGCTGGTATGGCCAGCCGAAATATTGTTATAAAAAACAATACACGCTGTTTTAAATTAGCTTTGCAGTAGTCTTTGGACTTCTCGTTCTTGGTCTTTCAGGTATGTCGCCGACTCTCACCGACCGAACCTTTTTTTATTCTGTTTTACCATTTACATGGGCAAAACGCTTAGCCTGTGTAGCTGGCGGTATTTTGTACTAGTCGAGTGAGATTTGGCGGCGGAGCCGCTGTACCAGTCGAGTGAGATTTGGCCCCCACGAGCGGCGAAACCGCGAGACGAGAAATACCGCCTCGTCCCCGCACCCTTTTTTGGATCGTGGCTCCGTCGCCAAAACTTTAATCACACAATACCGCCAGCTGCGCAGGCTACAAACCGCTCGGCCCACGTTCTGGGCAAATGGTAAGCCGCAAAATTTAGGACTGGTAAATTTCGTTCCAGAATCTCGTTCACCATTTGTACAAATCAGTTTTTACATTTGATGAAAAACGGCCGCGAAGCCGTGAACACGAATTTCCGTTTGCAACATTCCGTCCAGAAAAACAGGATCACCTTTTCAATTTTCCAGTTACCGTCGGGAATTTTCCCGTGGAGCGCCCGATAAAAATATGTTCCATTTACATCCCAACCGGAATTTCAGGAATTTCTTGGTAAATAGAAAACGCCCAGAGATTCCGTTAAACGCAAAAATTTTCCGCTAGTAACTACCCAGTAAATGGTGTTCCAATTACCGTTCCGACCGGATTTTTCAGAAACTTTTTGTGAATGGTAAACAACCTTCGTTTACGTTTTCTCATTGGGTTTAATTAGTGAGGCGCGAGGGGTATAACGGGAGCGAACAAGAGAAAGATGGTATAACAATTTCCCCTTACAATTCTTGCGATTATGTTACTAGAGTTGGATGCACCGTGTATCTGAACTGAAATCGGAATGGGTTCTGGCAAGATGGCTCTTGGTTCTGGGCTCTGGTCGTTCTTCACCGTCCTTACGTGAAGCACTTATCCGGTATACTTTTCGTGACTTCTTCTCTTCAAATTAATTCAGGTTGGCTGTGCGCATGCGTGAGGTATCGGTGTGTCTTAATTTGTAACAAGACCACATGACCAAGAGAAACGACGGGCTCTAGGGACGAATGGCCAGACCTTGGGTTGGTTTACATGTTTCACTTGCTCTTAACTGTTTGTCTTAATTGAATAAGGTTGTTTAATCTACCAACTCACGAAAAATGAACCCATGAGGTATTCGGCGATTTGATTGCGGAGCCATTTTTTAGAAAAGTAAATTTAAGAAGGTTACTTTCAATATTCATTGTTAATACTTTGATATATGATTGAACCCGACAATAACGAATATCTTGGAACAAACCATTTATTGCAGTTTTAGGACTGTTTTTACAAAGAGCTCTATACTATTTTGAACATTTTGTGAGCCAGTCTGACACGCACAGTTAGTTAACGATGAAAACCCATGGAAAAGGGTTTCCAAGCTCTATTAGGCAAGCGAGGGCAGCAATATTATCTCGGGAGGAAAGGACAAAAGGTTTTGAAATAAGGAAACTTAAGACAAATCACTAAGTCAACATTGAAACGACCGGTTCCAGTAGAGGCTCACAGTCAGTTGCTTGGCGAAATATCACTTGAGTGGCATTGACATGATATACAAGTTATAACTCTTACTTCCTCTCTGGTCTAAATTTATGGCACTCATTTTTAAGTCACTCAGGTATTTTCATACCCATGATCAGCGCAAATACTTCACGACTGTGCCATCAGAGATAATGGCGTCAAATGTAATATCTGACGTCGTGTACCATCGTAATAAAACCCGAAAGCAGGGTTCTTCATTTTTGTTACATCTCAAAACGGTCAGTCGTAACGAATATAACTTCCAACAAAGTACGTATCCACAGCGACAAAACCCCTGCAGTTTTCCTCCCTAACATTGAGATTGTTCAAGCCTCAATTCTCTCAAGTCCCAACTTGAAGAGGAATTCTTCCTTAGCGTCCTCACCCCTTCCTTTTCTCCCTTCTCTTCTCGACTCCATTTTCCTAAGCGCGCTACGATATCGTGTCTCCATGCGAAAATCTATAGCCCCAGTTCCATGATTCACTGGACTGGAACGGCCCGAGAGGCAACTTGTTAATAAAGCATTTGATTTAGATTTTGACGGAGAGGCAGGCGAAAGTTTTTCCCTTTCGCCGCGCGGTTTTTCAAGTCTTATGTCCTTTTCAGGAGTTGACGAACTTCGTTTATCGGTTGGACTTGGTTTTTGGTCTCGTTTGAGGTATTCTTCTTTCGTCTCCTCAATCTTAACCCGTACTGACGTTTTTTCGTGTGCAAACCCATTTAGACAAGCCAAGTCCATTCTTCGTCGCTTTTCTTCCTCTACAAAGCCGCGGTGAAATCTCCGTTCGTTTTCAACTACCGAACAGCGCACGGGAAACAATGTCGGGACATCCCGATGATGTCCGAACACGGGCCAGGGCGAGTAATGATCCCGGGCGACGGGTATGTGCATCCCGTTCGTTCTGTAAACATGAGTGACGGCTTCAGGGCCATTTAGCCTTCTGTGGTACATTCCAGGTGATCCTCTAGGGGAGGGAAACGAATTCGAATAGTCCGAAGGAAAATTTGGCCCAGGATGGGGTACACCGTAACGATCCATCGGGTAACTCCTCTCAGCGTACTTCATTTCTTCATCCATGCGCGCCTTTTTGGGAGGGACATGGAATGCGGAACATCCTGGTGACATTCGTCTCGGGTCTCTCAGAAGTGTGCGTCCTTGGAAAGATGCTGAGTTTTTAATGTCTTTGGATTCCTCCCCTAGGCGTTCAGTTTGGTAGTTTTCCCTTCTCCTTTTCAGATTCTCTTGTCTTGAAGAAGATCTGTTCTGGCTGGATGAAGACTTGTCCCGGAAAAGAAGGTCATTTATCGTTTCCTGAGCAAACGACTGCTGGTCATCCAAAGTCAAGTGAAGTTGAATGCCCAAGACATTCCTAAGAGCTCCCTCGTATACATCAGCTAAACTGTGAAAAAAAAAATAATAATAACAAAAAAGTTTTTTCTGTTATCTCTTTTCGTCTTCACCCTAAGACTTGCCTAGGACATTCACAGAGTAATGTGCGACTGTACAGGGGAAAACAAGCAACAAGATCAATGTGACGCTCTTTGCTATCTTTTTAAACAGTCAAAACGTGTCCTCGCATCAATTGCGTGCGAAAAGTAATGATCCAGTTTGGTTATTTAAGCTTATATTTTAGTATTGAAACTGTTTCCTGTTGTCTGTTTGTGCGATGGTAAGAATGAATATGGATTGAATTTGAAAAACAATTTAAGTTAATGTCATTTTTGCAAAAAAAAATGAAATGATTATGGTTAGTGCTCACTTATGATATTTGTATGATATTTCTTCATAACTCTACACGCAGGAGGCATTTTATGTATAAGTAATGGCGCCAAGTTAATAACAGTACCAGT